GGCTATAGGGAACAAGTTTAAAACTATAATAAAGAATACGGTACTACATTAATTATAAAATTAACATTTCTAACAAAAAACGTACTGTCCTCCGCTAGATATTTAATTTTTAGTTAATGTCCTCCAATTCCCCAAAAATTTCTGGTCACCCTATCTGTGACTATGGTTAACGCATTCCTCTATTTCTTCACAATATAGTCACATAAATAGAGTGACCGACAAATGTTTATGATATAAAATGATGTCACACATGGATTTACATATGTGTGAAATTATAATATTATCACATTAACGGTTCCAGAGGAATGTCAGATAAAATTGGTTCAATTTTTTGTAATGACTATATAATACTCGTTACAAAACATGCCATCTCTTAATGTATGCACAAAAACATACATTTTATTGATTGCATTCAATCAATGAGTAATCAATGCATTCACTAATGTTTGGCTAATTATAACTCATATTAACAGTAATTAAACTTCAATTCAAACTAAATGTTCAAATATTTGGCATTTTTTATGCGCAAAACATTTGCGAAGTTTTAGTCAAACAAAACGTTATTTGTTTTGTTTTTGTGAATTTGAGATCAAAAGCAGTGATTGAAATGAGATATGAATTGTTGTTCAACTCATCGACAATAAGCCACCACTCGATCATCACTTACAGCGCTTCCACTCATTGCAAGACCTAACCATCTCTTCGATACACACAATTGAGATCACATCCCAAGTAATGGCCGCCTCTCTGAACACCGCGGAAGTGATGGCAAACACCAGTTATCCATCAAATAAGACTCCATTCCTCATTGGCGTCACTGGTATTTCATGAGACAATTACTACTGATTTCGCAATCATATCTCATATTCTTCGGCAATTGATAGGCGGAACCGCTTCGGGAAAGTCGACGGTTTGCGACAAAATAATGGAACAGTTGGGCGAAGACAGTGTCGCCAATCGGGAGCGCCGAGTGGTTTGCATACCTCAGGACAGCTTTTACCGATCGCTGTCTCCCGAAGAGATAGCGCTCGCATTCAAAGGCAACTTCGACTTCGATCACCCGACGGCCTTCGACGAGGACCTGATGGCCAACACTTTGATCGATATTCTTGAGGGCAAAACAGTTCGCGTCCGACAATACAACTACAAAGAGAACACTGTGTTAGACATGGGATCAGTTGCTCTCTCGCGATAACTCTAATCGTTGATATCTCTGTCTTATATATAGCGGCGAATCTGAAGAGACTGTATATCCGGCGGATGTGGTTCTTGTCGAAGGGATTCTTGTGTTTTATTTCAAACAAATTCGAGATCTCTTTCACATGAAGTTATTCGTTGACACGGATTCCGATACACGACTCGCCAGACGTGGTATGACTTATTCAATGAGTCGATAGATATTTACATTGTTTTTTGACCACTAGTTGTGCGGGACGTGAAGGAGAGGAATAGGGATTTGGAGACAGTTCTCAATCAATACACAAAGTTTGTTAAGCCGTCGTTTGAAGAGTTCTGTCAACCCGTAAGTCATGGCATCGCATGTGTTGTCTAATCAAACTTTTGATTGTATTTTTATGATCGCATAAACAGACCAAGAAGTACGCGGATGTGATTATACCACGCGGTGCCGACAATAATGGTAATGTTGTTTGCATTTTTACATTTGTTTTAATTTATCGTATAATTTACTATTTGTTGTGTGAATAACAAACACATTAAGTGTTAACCACTGACTATCGACTCTACGTAAACGACTAAGAATTTGTTTAATTAGTTATGATTTTATGTTTTATAAAGTTTTTGTTTATTTTTTCAGTTGCAGTAGAATTGATAGTCAATCGTATTGAAAAATTGTTTGCTTACTGTCCGCTCCGGTTGTCTAATAATGAAGAGAGTGCTAAGGAATCGGCACTCGTTTCAAATGCTAATACAAATGCCATCAAAAGCCGAAGAGATTGCTCCCCGAATATTATAGTCAGTCGATAGCGTATATAACAGTACTATAGGCTCTCATTCCCTGCAATTATTACGAAATTTGAGTATTTTTATAATCAAAAGTATTTTTCAAACTAGAAATCAAAGCAAATTTTCAATTCATTTTTACAAAATTTTATTCATTTATACAAAATTTATATATATTTTTATATATTTTATTCTTACAATCAATTCTCAATGAATATTATTCTTATTATATTCGGGAATCTCTTACTGTATATGTATTTGTCTTACTTTTAGACTTTTTATACGATTTGAAATTGAATTAAACATTTGAATTAGTTTTCTAAATGAATGAAAAAACATATGATTTAGTTATTGCTTTAAATTCTATACAAATAGTTGCCATTGATTTGATCGTTCAGACGATTAAAGATTTGCTACAAAACCCTCGAATCCGTTCGTCGAGTCCATTGTCACCTCCACCTAATCTGGCGGCACAAATGGATCAGTTCCGGAGGACTGCCGTCACCCGCAGTGTGTCGGTCGGCAACTCTTCGCGTCCACATTGAATGCACTGATCTTCGGATAAATATATAACTAATATTTTATTGTTAATTCTGTTTAAAATAACCATTTTCTCTGTTTGTTGTGCAATACGTTTCGACGCTTTTTTTTGTTGTCTTTAAAGTCTGAAATGTTTTTAAACATATTTTTTATAAGAATTTTAAATCATTTAATTAAGACTGAAATACATTTACCGGTATTTGAATCCAATAGTCATCTCAAATAACTTGACTTTTAAAACAATATTTTATTACTTTATTGAAAGTCATTGAAAGAATTTTTTGTAATTTTATTCCTGAGATCAAAGATCAGTATTTTGTAAAATAATAATAATATAATCTTTTTTTGGCTGAAAGTGTTGAATAGCATTAAAAATGTTTCTAAATATATTACCATTCAATGCAATCATTAAACAATTAAATATATATCACAAAAATAATGTCTCATTTATTTATAACTGAATTGAAAGGCATTTCGTTAACCACTTCTTTGAGGAGTTTAAGTGCAGTCAAAGCCTTTTGCACGCATTGACTGTTGGCTTCCCTTTGCGTTACGTCTAAAATATAAACAAATTAGTATTCATTTTATTAATGGTATTTAAATAGTAATTTAACAACCATTGAGCCAAAGCTGCAATTCAACCATTTGTAGAGACATCTCGTTAATGAGATAAATAGGCGGAACACTCATCAAAACCATACAAAACGCAAATATAACCGCTTCCCTCACATACCTGTTAATTACAAATTTAATGAAATTCACTGTTAATTAATTTGAGACAATTTATTTACACTGAAGAGTGGTATCGAAAGGCTATAATGAATTCCAAGAGCTCTTTTCCCATTTGCTTAGAGATGGGCGCAAACGACGCGTTCTTAAGGATTAGACCCAATGTATAGAGAAGTCTTCCCAACACATAGTCGTCATCCTCTTGAAAATGAACTTTGATTTCGTTTCCGAATATATTCTTCATTAACGGGAAAAAGAAATGTCCGGCGAATGGAATGAAACGATTGACAAATGCCTTCTCGTCCAGTGTTTTGGTCTTATGCGCCAAAACTCGAGTCTTTGATTCGATCCGATTCTTCACGATTTGTGTCCAATGATTGTCCGCAATCTTCTCCTCATGAGTGGCCAAAAGGTTCGCTTTTGGATTCATTTTGTCTACATTTGGCTTAACATTAGACGAGAGTTCAGTACTTGAAGCCAATAATACTTCCAACACATCAAGTCTTTGTCGTATCGTATAATTTGATGCATAAAACTGTTCGCATAGAAAATTAGACACCGGTTTCGGTGAACAAACACACAATGCTATCATCGCTCGCAGTCGAAGACCAATGAAGTCGTCGACAGCACACGTGTCGTCCAATCGGAACAATAATAGTGTGAATTCAACACATATTCCGTCCACAGAATCGCTATTATTTCTAATGATTTGTTCGGCATTTTGAAGGCAAGCGGTAAACCACTCGACCTTTTCGTGATCTATCAGTCCTTCCATACAATCCCGTAAATAAACGGGACGTTTGGCGACCGAACTCAGGCTCTCAGTTGACATGTCGTACGGAATGAGATCACTGTCGTCGTCGTCATCGCTGTCCAGGTTTTTATCTTCTCTCTCGACCGACACTTTAGGCACAATCTCTTCGCTGTCGTCACTTGTCTTCAGTGTCGAGAGTTTGTGTCCAATATTTGCCAAATCTTTTTCGTTGCAATTGTTTAGAAACAAATCGTTTAAATGTTTGATTTCGTCGTTTTCTTCAATTTCAAAATGGATTTCATTGTTTTCGGTGTAAAACAAAGACATCAATGATTGGCCAACAGTGAGACCAATATTTCTAAAGTCTGTTTGACTGTTCTTCAGATGAAGTTCAATGCCATTCATCGTAAGTCTCCTAAACTTGTCGACCACTTCACTGAAATCCGTGTCTTTCATAAACCGCGAGCCAATCATAAGAGCTCTGGAGAGGTATAAGTGCTGTGAATAACTCCTATACTTAATAGCACTCGAATTACTCCATGAATTCAACACGTTTTCAAAGGACTCGAAGAATAAATGCAGACAATTGTTGGAAAGATAGCCGAAGATATTAATCAAAATCTGATCGCTTTTAAACTCATTGATTAATAAAAACTTATTTGTGAACAAGAATTTCATTTTATTGTTTGTCTCAACACTTTTGCCAATTATCCAAACGATGGACTCGTAATTGGTTTGCAAACAAAGCATACATTTAAGCAATACTTCAATATATTGTGGCTTTTGTTGCGAAACAAACGCTTTATAAGCGATTCGCCGCCAAATGAAGTCTTTCTCGCATTTGGCTATCATTTTGATCACCACTTCATTGAACACGAGGTTTGAGAAACCGATTAAAGAGATTCGTCCCAAAAGTGATGACAACAACTGCACCGAAGAGTCAATAGATTTGGCAATCATTTCAAACACGTCTTCAAAACACAACCAAATTGTTTGAACAATTCGTTTGAAATACAAGTTTCGGTCAAATTTGTGGCAAACATTGGTCTTCATATGGTTGGACACGATCTCCGGTATCGTCACTAAAATGGTCTCCACTTTGGGCCCAATCACGAGCCACTCGTGCGAAGACATGCGACACGTGCTCGTGAGGAGTGTCCGCAAAGTTTGGTCACAATAGACATAACGTGTCATTAAAGACAACAATTTGTTTCGTTTAAAACTGTTTTCTTTGGTTTCGCCGAAACTGTGGACAAGAATTACAAATACATTGACTTCGGGTGAGAGGAAGTGGTCGTCAAACTCCTCTTCGGCCGACTTGTTGTCCGCGAAACTCAAACCATTTAATGAGTCAATCATTTGACGACTTTTACGGATCGTCTCCTCAACGGATGTGCCGTTTGTTTCATTCATTGCTTTTAATTTAAACCACAATTAAATCACAAAAGTTTTTGACTTTTGAAAACAACTCTTTTTGTTTACACTTTTAAACTCATCATAAATTACGACAAATTTTTTAGTTATTAATACTGACAAAAGTTTTCAAAAAATATTTCAAGAAATTCATTGCAATTTGAAATCATTTGTATATATTATAAAAGTTAACAATTTATTAAATAAATGATTGCAATCTAATTATTATAATATTTTACAAAACAATTAACGCAACAAATGTTTAGCATAAATATCAAAGCAATTGATTCAAAGCGGATAACTCTTGTTTGGCGAGTGGTTTCAGATTAAATCCTTTCAACTCTTCTTTGCCCTCCAATTGTCTCAATTGATCCACTTTTGGTTTCAGACCATTCCTCAGCTCTTCAATCCGTTTCGTCAATTGGTTTTGGTCTTCAGTTATCACACTTTTGGCGGAACTGACACTTTGTTTAATGAAAGAGTTGCCAAAACATAACCACAACTTATCTGACTATACATTGAAATGGGGGACAAAATCAATACAATTAGCATTCAATGAATGGCAAAATCAATGCAAACAATTACATCATTGGTATACTCTTTACGCCTTTTCAATGCATTCAACGCTTCCCTGTTTTTGTTTAACTTGACGTTCAGAGCAATCATCTCTTGTTTGTTGACAATGATATCTTCGGCGCATTCCTCCACTTTCTGTAAGGCATTCAATATCTCATTCATGCCTTCGTTGGCCTCCATTTGGCCGACAATTACTGTAATTAACACTCAATTCAAACACAATTCAAACCAAAGTTTGGCTCAATTTTTATTTACAAACAAATGCATGTGTTTTACGCCAATTCACAAACAATGTTACCATTAGAGGGGTGTTTAGTATTGAGTGCCTTAAAGTTTGGTTAAGTTAATATATTGAAATTATTGTTGGGGTTGTAATATACAAGTAATATGCAAACAGACTTTGTGTATGAGTTTAACCATTAGTTCACGTGTTGTTGTTTTTGAAGTGATTTTTATTGATTTTGATTTAAAAGTAATTAAAAAGTATTGAAAGAAATGCCAGTTTTGAAAGTGGATTACAATCTCATTGAAACTCAATTAAAGGGTTTACTAAACAATACAAGTGTTAATGAATTACAAATAGTGAAGGATTGTTGTGTTAAACCAATGAAATACGCGAATCAAGAGTTGATTAAACTTTTAAGTTGTAATTCAAATGACACTAAAGGGGACAAAGAGGCGAAGGAATCGGTGGATGTGATCGATGGCATCGACGGCGACACTGATCTCATCGCCAATCAATATGAAGGAGGTTTCAAGATATGGGAGGGTTTGCAGGATATCATCGATTACTTCATTGAATGCAAAATATTTGATAACTTGTCAAACAATGAAAACCTCAATGTCTTGGAAGTAATGGACAGTTAATTAATGTTTGAAATGAATTAAAATTAATTGCAATCTATTTGTGCCAACAGTTGGGATGCGGTTCTGGTTTGGCGTCCATTTATTGCTCCAA